ACTCGCACTAACATGACCGGGCAAATCACCCTTTGAGAATGCATAACGTACGCCCACATGGAAACACGACATGGCTAGCAGACGACGCACGGAGCAATTCAAACTTCTTGTTGTTGTTGTTGCTGTTGTTGTTGTTGTAGTTGTTGTATTTGTTGTTGTTGTTGTTGTTGTTGTTGTTGTTGTTGTTGTTTTCCTTTGCTCATCACTCGTACCCAATGGAGGATATTGGCCGATTATAAGGTGAATTCACCCAATACTTTCCGCATTGCTTCATTCCTGGAAACGCTAGTTATTTAGTTATGATTTCAAGTGCCAATAGCGAATTTGAAAAATATGTAGTGAGCCCCCTATTTAGCAATAAAATTCGTTTAGTCGCAGTGATATATTCTGAATGGCGAATAAAACATCCCCTTGGCTGTACCCGAATGTAGAGGCTCCAAAAGAACAAAAAGAGCAGGTTCTGATAATTTCAAGCCCAGTTCTTGAAGAAGTGATCCTAGTGCAATTTTTCTGAATAGATGAAAACGGCGATAACTGCGCGCTTCAGACAGTTGCCTCCAGGTGGTGACTCCACACGATCTCACAGTCAATAGTTGAGCACGGCGATCGGGTAGGAAAGAAAAGTGACAATAAGGATGAGAGGAGAAGGCAAAGACGGGTACAGATGAAAAAAAAATAGAGAGAGTGCGAAAACAAGTAGTAGCGCGAATATTTCAAATAATAAAAAGCTGTGAAGACAAAGATAGAAGTCGAGAGTCTGACGGTCAGAAAAAAGAAAAAAAGGTGAGGAAAAGTGAGGAAGAAAGAAAAAACAAATAGAAGAAATAGCTCAAAAGTTAGAAGACAAGTGTCTCAGAAGCAAAAAGAGAGCAATATAAATGTTTGAAAGGAGAGCCAAAAAAGCGAAAACAGAGAAGGATTGAAGAGTGAAAAAAATACAGAGACAAAGGAAAAAATGCAGTGAGAAAGTTTTTTTTTGCAATTTTATCTCTAAAGTAATATTTCAGATTGTTTTTAGTTTTTTAAAATTATCCTTCCACCAGGTTCTTGGCCTATTCCCCTTTGTCGGTGATTGCCATTCATCTCAGATCAGCATCATCATCATCAAACCTTACAAGCACATAAACACACAAAAGAGAGCCAAAGAAAAGAGAGAAAGCATAATCACATTTCGTAGAGCAATGTAAGTATAGTTTGCCGTGTGGCGCACAAAAGCTGTAACATTCATGAATCCACACCTCGTCTCTCGATTGTCTAGTTCAACTTAATCTTGTCCGAACGGAACGTTTCCTCCGACTTGTACACAGGGGATGAAATAACAACGGTGGGTGAATTATGTGGTGTCAAACTGAATAAACAGACATATTGAATTTACTGCTCCAATCTACGACAAGTTCACCACCTCTGCTGTTAACCAGTGTTGCGCCACTCTGTCTAAGATGAGCAATTTTTTTTCGGCAGAAGAAGAGCACGTGCTGTGATGGATGCACTAAAACGTGAAGAAGAAATCACGATAAAGACACGCGTTACACGAGGAAGCAGACGCAGAAGAAGAAGACTGCGTCCGTGCCAGCACCTGTGTTCCGTTCCCGCATCGTCACAAAGAGCATTCTAGTCCAGAAGAGGCTGAGTCATTGCTTGAAAAAGGTGATTATCTTTTGCCTTACTGAAACTCATGTCGTGGGCATTGGGGGCTGAACAATGGTCATTTTTTGCCGGATCAGAGACACCGTATTATCCTTCCTGCAAGTATCTCGAAGCAGTCACTTTTTATGCTATGTTATTACCATAAGGCAGTGTAAACAGGCAAGAAAATATGATCTGTACCGTTTACAATTTCACAAGTAATGAAATCTCACTCGAAATCTCATTTAACTTTGATCCCGCTTATGAACCATGCTACAGGACAGCACTTCCCGGTCAGTATTTTTAAACGCACGACTACGCTGACACATGCTGTACTCTCCGCTTGGTAGTGGTACCATGGACAAGTAAACTCAAGCGAGTAAACCCAACCGAGGTAACGGTCAGGCTTTGTGTGCTTACGTTGTCCGCTTTCACGATTCAAAACTGGGTACAAATAGTAATAAGCTCACACGTTTGAACTCTTCCCAGGAAATGCACTGTTCGCCACAACTGCAAATGCCGTTATCGAAATCTTACTCTACACAGCGAATTCGCGTGGCTTTAGATACGCTGCTGGTAGTAATCTTTCACAATATATCCACGTGGCATTTGGGAACCACTACCGGTAAACACATGTTTCTCGCTTGCTCATAACTAGCTTAGAAAAAGTAAGCGCGCACCTACGATGTTCAGCGAACAAAGGATGGTCTTGTTGAGTCCTACAATTTTGTTGTTCACTTGTGCTACGAGACGTAACGCTTCTACATTACGTAAATGAAAGCTTATGCATCCCTCTTCGTCGTAATTCTACAATTGTGAATCGGACTTTTTTACGGCGCTCCATCGCACGCACCCTTCTTCTAGTTGAAATGTCGTTAAACATTACGTTAAGAGGTGTTACTTCAGGAAAAGCCCTACCAAAACGCTAGAGGGCAGCACAGCAAATGAAGAAGGTGGATTGTGTGACTGATATTCGGCAATAATAACTGGCAGATACGGCCTTGCATGTAAATTATAATTTATTGATTCCCTAGAAGTGTGTGTGCGTGTCGTATGTATATGTATGTGTTAAGTGTGTGTGTGTGTTTTAGTATGTGCGTAAGTGTGGGTGAGTGTGGCTCTGGGTACGCGCGTGCGTGCGTGAGGGTAGAAGAAAACGAATGTCGCTCGTGAACTTTCTGTCCACCCTCCTTTCAATGATTTAGAATGTGGCACTTACTATTGTACTAATGTCTGAGTTACAGTCTTTTGCTATAAAACTGCGCTCTCCATAAACTTGACAGCGCTTACGCCAGTAAGTCTTTATTTGATCAAACTTGCCAGGATCACGAGAAGTAGGTAAAAGGGGGGTAAGCTAATCTTGAGCAATTACGCTCAATTTAATGTATTTTCTTTGTACCAACGACATAAAAATACTGTTCACCATTACATTGGCAAATCACGTAGGCGAAAGAGCAAATTTTTATCTCAATGAAGTGGAATGAGACAGCATCATTGTTATCGCGCGTTCCTTGAGAGAGATTTTTATATCTCCCTCTCTTCCCGTATACACGGTGTTTGAGGATCACAATGAAATGCTCACTCCGTGAAAAGAATCTACATCACAAACATCGCTTTTTCCAATCCTTACACCCTACGAAATATTTCGCTATCGAAGAACCACGCTCTTTTATTGTGGACGCAGTTCCTGACCACCGGGAATTGTGGACGAGTGAATGCATCCTACGCTATAGCTTCGTGAATTATCACGACTGTGTGTTTTCGAAAGTGTGCGTCTTAGAATACTGCATGAAGTTAAAATTTTAGTATAACAATCCAGTCCCAACTGCGGGGAGTAGATGATGACCTCTTGTTTGACAGCGCTCATAAGAAAGGAAAACCTCGTGGCACTTTTTGATAACATGAGCAGGAAAACAGCATGAACTGAAAGAAAATGACAGGCCACTCCTTCCAGGAAGAACACAAAATTGAGCATGTGCACTGAAACTTTTCACATGGTGTTACCACGACAGACCACCAAAAGCGAATTTTATAGCCTTTCCCTTTCTATTCATGTTGTTTTTGAGCTCATACATAATAATGTTTTTAGCAAGCAGCCTAGCCCACCACCATATTGCACCTTGAGGCCTCCTTGTTTCTATCACACGGTTGAAAACAGATACATTGCCTGAGACGCTCACTACTGCTGACATTGACACTTTAGCGAGAGTTCACTAAACTGGTGGCGGTACGTCGGCGTTTAGGCTTGACAGCGTTTGACCATCCTATAACTGAAAGGAAATGCAGCGCGAGCAACGTAAACTAAAAATAAGACACGAGATGGCAAACCAGATGGCATAGTTAGCGCTGGTATGTCATCTCGTGTGTTACTTTGCGCCTGCATTTCAAATCGTTTCTGATGTACAACCGCAAGACCCAATGGACCTTTTTCATAATTCGCAAGTGCGCTTCCTCTGATCTGCTTTTCTTTTCAATGAGTAATAGTGGTGCCTGTCGTGCTTCATGCGGAGACGTGGTCCTAGGTCCTAGTCATGGACATGCGTAGCGCTCGTAGTCAGGGAGGCGGAGGTCCATTGCTGCGCCCACCGCCCTCTCTATTAGGTCAATATTGGGGGCCGATTTTACGATCTCCCTCTTGTGTGGCTAGCAGGGCGCCCCACTCCCGAGTCAATGTAAGGAGCAGATCTTGCGCCCCCTCTTAGGTGACTAGGGGGCACCGCCGTCCCTTCTGCCCCATTCGTGCGCACGCCTGAGTCATAGTTGAGCGTGCTCGGTCTTGTCTATTATGAGTGCTTAATTTTGAGAGGCGACTCGACATTTTTCCCATTATTGCGTACGCGAGGCCGCTTAAACAAGCTATCCGGACAAAATGACAAGCCACCAATATTCGCTCAAGCCACATAGCAGGAAAGCAAACTTTACAATTTTGAAGAAGGTCTATATTAGGCACAATTCGGAATGTCTTAATATTTTTAGCATAGCGCCTACACGCTCCTACCCACAAGCAACTAACCGAAGTCTTACGCTATTGAGAAGCTGGTCCCGTGATGTCTCCACCAAGCGGCAGATTACGTAAAATGAAGGCAGCAGATTACAGTTTTTGCAACGCTTACGCCCTGTAGCTTCGATGCGGCCATCCACCATCGTACCCTCGGAGGAAGGCCGTCAGGGCCCTCGCAACGACGATGTAAGCTTGTCGTTGCCTGTTCGTGAGATTGGCCAGGCGTCGTTCATGCTTTCACCAACGCCGGATCCTTGTCCGTCCGAGGCGGGCGCACCCCTCTCGATTGACGCCTGCGTTGGCACTGCCCTTATCGGCTGTGCAAGTGTGCCACAGCACGGCTATTGGGAGCGCCACTCCTGGTGAACGAACGATGAACGCTCAGCTGACCTCGACGGCGCTCCAGGTGTTCGTGCCCTTTATCCTGGCTGGCTTCGGCTCCACCTTGGCTGGCATCCTGCTCGACGTAGTCAAGGTAAAAATGGCTGGAGTGTAACAGCGAACTACTGAGTCACTCAAATAAAAGCTTCATAAACAATTTTGATAAACGTTGTGAAATATTAAAATGCATTGTTGTAACAAGGGACACACTCACAAATGAAGAAAGAAAATAAACAGACAGAAACAAGTAGGCGCAATCTCTCAATTGTGAATATTTCGTGAGGCAGCAATTGGAGCCGCTCCATGAAAAAAAAGGAAGAAAACGAGAGTACAAATAAAAGTAGAATATGTGAGAAAACATGGCTGATCTCTCTGTCCTGGGAATCAGTATATCAGGAAAGAGAAACGTGTCATAACAGAAGGCAGTTGACAGTTTATTCTGTTTTGTTCGTGCACAAAGGAGAACGAATATATGCTACAGAAACAAATTATACTGTCACGCAAAGAACGGCAAGCAGTTCGAAACTTGCAGCGTGCAGCTCAAGGAGAAAGCACGCACGAAAGGAGCATACACAGGACGCGTGCAGAGTAACAACTGTCGCGGATCGAATTCTTACTTATTCGTGTGTGAGCAGCTTTGGATAAACTCAATTCGAGTAGCTAGCGAAGCAACCTTCGTGCTCTCCTTAATTACTGTAACTTAAAAGCAATCTTGCCGTGGAAGTGCAAGAGGTACATAGCGCCGTAATCACGAGATTAGCGGGCATGCATGAACGACCGCGTTTTGTGAAGACACGCGCGCATCTTCAGACACAGGACAACGACCTTTACCGGCGTGCCTAATGCACGTCTTGCGGGCCATTTTGTTACAGATGTGAACGCGCTGAACGACCTATCATGTACATGAAAAGCTGGACAACGTACACTCCATGGTCTAGTGGTTTTGTTCCGCCCACTATGGCATGGGAGGTTGTATGTTCGAAACCCGTGGAGAAGTTTGCCATTGGTTAGGATATATTTTGTGCGACATCAGTGACGGAAATAGGTCAGCGCAGTTGTGGTGCACCTTGGCAAAAAGACATTTGAGGTAAAACCGATAAATCTAGAGATCCTATCGTGGTCGTGGGTAGGGTTGCCCATTTAGTGCGAGAGTGAACTCGCCCCCCCCCTCCCTATTCGTTGGCAAAATCCAAACGAGAACGTGCTTTACAATGGCTTAAGAAATTGGAAATTATGCTGAGACTTCCTTCACCCAAAGGCTAGCCTGAGTTGAAGACGGGAAGTAGACAGTTCCTGAAATGCAACGTCAGGTGTCTTCAGCTGCCAATAGTTAAAATTACCAGTGTCATCATAATTGAACAAACGTATGAGGCAGACTCTACAAACACCCTTTGAGGTGAATAATAAAATGCCGCGTCCCTGTATCTCTCTTGTACGCACTCCTATGATGCTATATATGCAACTATTGACTTGAGCCACTACATCATTTTTAGATTCGTCCACGAATTTGTTGCAGTTTCATCATAACATTCGAGCAGTACTCAACTTCCAGATGGCTGGCGGTGAAACGCGATGTGTTGCCTATATATCACACATTGCCAGCGCCATAGCAATTTCGACAGAAGAAACTTGCTGAAAAATAAGGCCTTATGACATGCTTGACGTGCCTTCACTGCAGGATTAGCGCAATGAAGCGTACCAAAACTTTATTCTATAAAAACGAGAGCAACCCGTATTTACGACACTAGACACTCCACTGAGTTCATGTGCATGCACTGGTCGTGTGCGTGTCGCTTTTAACAATTCCTTCAAGTATTTCGGCAAAAAAAAAGTAACGTGTAAGATATTTCCCATCACAGTCCTAATCACATACCCTGAATTGATTATTCGCATAATGTCAAGCTTCGAAACCTTCAAATTGATAAATTATTCCCCATCGCGCCCTTTAAAACTGCACTGCACGACCTGCGGTAATAGGGCGGAATATAAACTGTTGTATTGCGTAGTTCCAGTATCCTTTATTCGCAGTAATTGTATTACCTCGCATTTCAAAGTGAATGGTTCTAGTTGCAACTTATGAATTTAGTTAGGAAATCGCAGCGAACTTTTTGCCTCCTTAAGCACGACCAAACAGATTGTGGATATTGTTTCTGACGGCCACGTATTTAATATATACAAAGTGGCTGACCAAAAGCAACCACCTTCTGAAAATAGGCGGACTTATTGGGTTGAGTAGCTATCCAATTTAAACCATCATTAGGTCTTCGTAAATGGAGTTCCATCAAATTGAACTGATAAAAACTATTCGCATTGTTTTAAAAGTTCTAATTAAAGCTTTGTTTTGATGTATGGTACAAGTGAAATCTGTTTTTTTTTTCAATGTAAAAAGTGACCACATATAATATGCTTACGTTTCCTGGTCGAATGGTTAGTAAAACAGATTTTACCCTTACTAAAATAAAAATATATAGTTTTTGCTTATACACGCAATGCAGCATGAGGCTGGTCGCTCAAGTTTTAGTACGACACGTGGATATGGGTTTTACTGATCACAACCGAAAATTTCTAGAAATTTTCAAGCTGGACTAAATCATAGCAATATCGTTTGATTGCTCACAGGAAAGCTTAAGAGACACTTGTTGAGTTTAGCTCCTCTGTAATAAGATGCAAACAATTGAGAGAAAAAAATGTTCGGACTTTTATTGGTGTTCGGGGCCACCGCATTCTGTTTTGCGACTACACCTTGTTTGAGTCTGCTCTATATGTTCTCATTTCAACAATGCAGGAGTGGCCGGTGTATGTGATAGTGCATCACATATTCGTGGTCATTCCACCCTTGCTGGGACTCAACGGCAACCTGGAGCAGACCCTGGTGGCGAGGCTTAGCACCCAGGTGCGTATTCAGTGTGCCACTCTTCGACCCACATAATACAGAACTAATTCATGTCCTCGCTTGTCTATTTCACTTGCACTAATCGAATGTACGTTTTCATGCGTGCCTGTCAGACTGTAGCTTTCAGTTGCTCTGTAGAGTATCATGCTTGAGTTTTAATCACACCCTCACCTAAATTACAAACTTACTGATTTTCGATGGCGTCTTCCATAGCATAAGCTCCTTTTGATGTTTGCATCTCATAAAACAACGAACCCATTGTTCCTTGTTTAGGCACACTTTAAGATGCCTAACTGAAGTATCTGATTTACCCTAATACTCGCAGTTTCATGGATTTTAAGTCTTGTCCATAAGCGTGTTTCCCGCTTCACTACTGTTATTTCGCACAATTTTCAGAAGATGTGAAGAGGAATCGTCTATAAGATGGTATCCTGAAGCTAGTTAAGTACAGTTACTAGACAAATGCAGTCATTATTTGAACCAGTGTGCCCCAAAGAGAAGCGAAGTTCACTAATTCAGGTGTGCTTGTTAAGGAATAAAAATGTAAAACCCTTCAGCGCTCTGTAAATAGGCACAAAATAATGGTGACGCTTTGGAAGTCATTCAAATTTGATGCTACTATCGCCACTTAGCATAACTTTAGTCACTTTTTATCGCAAAAACAATGCAATAGACACAGATTCGTCCACACAACTTGGCATGCATACTGGAACTTATGTTTGTAAAGTTTAAGGGACACTAAAGTAAATTAACAATTTTCGTCAGAAAGAAAGCTCAATGCATGACAGCATCTAAAACGACATTTTTATCAATGACAGTGCGCTACTTACCGTGAAATTAGGGTAAATCCAGAAGAACACAAGCGCCGCAGTCAGACATTATTAAAATGATCCCGATTACATCAAATGAACCACGTACAGTTATTTTCTAGTAATTTGTTTAACTGCACTAAATAAAGAACCTTCCGTGCATCAAAATACGCAATAAAGTACTGCTTTTTGTTTCTGTTTGAATAATGGAAAAAAGAACCGGCAGACGTAACTATGGGGAATGGCATGAGTGGTTCAAAAATACAATTTTCGCGTAGTTACACTGGACAGATGGTACCATATAGCGGGGCACAGTTTAAACAAAAAAACGTCTACAATATTGGAGCCGATGGCGGGAAGTTGATCTATGGCCGAATTTCCAGCTGTGGCTCCCACTGCTTTCGATCTGCTGCTAGAAAGACGGGCAACGTTGTGCATTGTAACAGCGACGTAAGTTTGTCTGGACTTTACACTTCTTGAGCGAGTAATTTGAAGTGCGCTAACCTGTTGCGGACCACTAAAACGTGGTTTCATTTCAAAATAGGCCTTTCCTTGGCATAAAAGTAACACACGAGGTTTATGGAGCAATATTTATACAGTCAACGTCGACCTAATAGTTGCCTTTAGTATCTCTTTAGAGGTCATCGAAGTCATGACCCGCTAAGTTGAAGCGTTGTGCCAAAGCAAACTTCCAATCGCAAGGAAAGAAAATACGCAGTCATAACTTAGTTATGAACTTTTTCAAGGGGGTTCTTGAATCCATGCAATATGACATAGTACATACCCAACAAAAACTGATGACAGTGGAGCCCTTATATAAATTTCTGACGTACAATTTACACGTGCGGCCTCCGTCAGATTGAGAATGAATTAAGCATAATCATAATATATTTCATATTTCAGTGATGCATCTACCCCTCCAACTCCACGCCCTCGCATTTTTTTTTCGTTTTGAGGGAATGCCTGTTTCCCTTTGAAGAACCCAATTCGGAATGGCGGCCTCCTTATCGCCACCATGCCCGCTTTCAAAGTTGCCCTCTACTACTTTTCGCTTGTTTTGAAGGAGAGGGTATGAAGCACGCATACAGAATCACTGAAGAAAGTAGTGCAGAATTGAAGACAAGATGTCGAAATGACGGCTCTTGCGCATACTGAATGCAAAAATTTTCCTTAACCATGCATAATATTATATATTATAGCAAGAAGGTGGGAAGGGAAGTTAGGGCGAGGAGGAGTCTTGTGAGGATGACAGAGGAAATGAGGAGGTGAGAGTGTGAAACATGACGTAGTCTTATAAGGTTCACTTTAACAAAGAGCTAGAGCTTGCGCCCAGGCATATGAGGAATAAATGTGTAGCTTTGCTGCAGAAAGCGTCATCCGGAAGCAAAAGTAAGTCGTCCTGGCAGCGCGCTCTTGCTACACGTCAGCTTGACAACGCTGCCCCAACATCCTTACAATGTTCCCGTGGATGAGCCACACTTTTTCATGTGATAACGTTAGAAAGCTTCTTTCGCAGATATGCTGGCGTCTGCATCGAGGCCGGCATCGTTCATCGGGAGCAAAAAATTATGATCTTGTCCATGATTGACACAAGAGTCAAATGAAATGAATTAACAATAAACATGTCCGGGACCGAGTAAAAATCGAATGCCAGCCATTTCCTTTTCAAGCAAGTATTCAGCCACACAGCCATGTCGATGCTTTGAAATGCAGTTAAAATTACCTTCTCTACTTGGAAGTGCAGTTGAAACAACTTTCATGCTTTACAAACACAAGAGCGTTGAATACAGGCTTCATATTGATACGCAACAGCCGGCACAGCCTGTCTGGAAGAAAGAGAGAGACGACGTTGGTGGCTGGTTGTTCATCAACTGTCGTCATCTTGTTCGCCGAGCACAGTTCATCGTATTTAATTTATTATATAAGTTACCCGTAACATTATTGGTGGAGGTGGACGACTCCCGTACCTCGATGGAGACGCGCAGCGGTCGCAACACCGGGGACTCTTCGGCTACTTCAACTGCCAGTGCCTCATCCCCACTGGTCTCTCGATCCGAGTCGACAACCTACGTCACCCTGCCACCCCTGCGGGATCCTGGAACTTTCTCCGCTGACGGCACCATCGACGTCGACTCCTGGCTGCACCGGTACGAGCGAGTCAGCGCTACCCACCGCTGGGATCCCACGCTCATGCTCGCCAATGTTGTGTTCTACCTCGACGGCACGCCGCGGACATGATTCGAAACCAATGAAGCTGAAATCAAAAGCTGGAATCTTTTCAAATCAAAGATCTGTGATCTTTTCGGCGATTCATCTGGTCGTCAGCTCGCTGCCAAGAAGACTCTCGCCACTCGCGCCTAGACGTCTACTGAATCGTACGTCTCATACATTCTTGACGTCTTGGCGCTTTTTAGCAAGGTCGATCAGCGCATGTCAGAAGAAGAAAAAGTTAACCATGTCCTCAAAGGGATTGCTGACGATGCCTTCAACCTGCTGGTTTTTACTAATGTCACGAGCATCGACATGATCCTGAGAGAATGCCGCCGTCTAGAACAGGCTAAAGCCTGCCGCGTCACCCACGGCATCACGCGCCTGCCGCACACAGCTGCTACTTCCTCTTGTGATGACTCCGTCCGCCCAGTTCCCCGATGTGACAACCTCACCCGCATCATTCGTCGTGAGGTGGAAGCAGCCCAACCAGTTGCTACTCCATTTCTAACGCCTGATCCTTCACCGACCACTATCTGACTGATACAAGCCGTCGTTCATCAAGAATTATCGAACGTCGGCCTACACCCCATTCAACCAGTCTACTCTGCCGAGCCTTTTTATCGTCGTCCATCCACTCCTCGATTTGGTTCCAACTACTCTCGACAGCGCAATTTGTCCGAATGGCGTACACTGGACGACAAGCCCATATGCTTCAACTGCCGACGTGTCGGTCATATTGCTCGCCACTGCCGTAATAACTGGGCTCCGCCGGCACGCTATGGGTCTCCTACCCAAGCCACTTCTGACCACCAGTTGTCCTCAACATTTGATTTTGGTTCCCCTATGCCGACCACATCCTCTGATTCTTCCGCACCTCTGACGAGTCCTCGCTACGCCCGCTCACCATTCCCTGCTCGCCGTCAATCTCGTTCGCCCCCACAACGCCGTCCTGCCTCTCCGGCCTATTCGCAGCGCCCCCGACCGGAAAACTAGGCAGTGCAGCTTCTGGAGGTGAAGCTGCATTGACGACGACCTCTGCAAGAAATCTTCGTGTAACCTTACCGACCACCCGGAATCTGTTGAACGTTACTTTAGACAATGTACCTGTGCGCGCGTTGATCGATACCGGCGCGCATGTGTCCATAATGAGTGCTGCTCTTCGTCGCCGCCTAAAGAAAGTTGGCACACCGCCTTGAACCGAGCCGTTCGAGTCGCCGACGGGGGAACTGTCGCGATTATTGGCATGTGCTCTGCCCGTGTGACTATCGCCGATAGAAGCACTGCTGTTCTTTTCACCATTATAGAAAATTGTCCCCATGAAGTAATTCTAGGCTTGGATTTTCTAACCGCTCTCTCGGCCCTTATAGATTGTTCAGCCGGCTGTCTTGACCTTGAAATGCCTCTACTTTCTGATCTGACCAACCCACCCCAAAGTCGCCTTTGCTGCATTGATTTCGCACGCCTTCCGCCTAACTGTGTCACACATATCGACCTCTTCTCTACACCACCTATACCTGACGGCGATTACATGGTGGCACCAATTCATGCCGTGATGCTTACGCAAGGCGTCGCTGTTCCGCACACCATTTTGACAATTTTTGAAAACCGGACATGCCTTCCTATTGTCAATTTTGCCCTCACTGCCCAAGTTCTTCCACAAGGTATCTCCCTGGCCGAAATTACTGCTCTACAAGACCATACGGTTGAACCCTTCAGTGTGGATGATTGCTGCACCTCAGACAGTGAACCAACTCTATCACGTTCATCGGGCGTCGACGTTGACCACACGGTACCATCAGACCTTGCTCCTGATCAAGCGGAAGCCCTTCGTCACGTCCTGGAGTCCTATAGTGACATTTTCGACTTCACCAGCACGGCTTTAAGCCGAACGAGTGTTGTTAGTCATCGCATCAATACTGGTGACGCGAGTCTCATTCACCGACGTCCATACCGTGTTTCCGCGTCCGAGCGCACAGTTATACAACAGGAAGTCGAAAAGATGCTTTCAAAAGACATAATCGAACCCTCTTGTAGTCCCTGGGCTTCTCCTGTCGTCCTGATCAGAAAGAAGGATGGAACATGGCGCTTTTGTGTAGATTATAGGCATCTCAACAAAACTACGAAGAAAGATATTTATCCGTTGCCTAGAATCGACGATGCCTTAGACTGCCTTTACGGTGGTACGTTTTTTTCCACTATCGACCTTTGATCTGGCTATTGGCAGATTGCTGTGGATGAGATGGACCGTGAGAAGACCGCATTTGTCACACCTGACGGGCTTTATCACTTCAAAGTTATGCCCTTTGGTCTCTGTAATGCGCCGGCCACATTCGAAAGAATGATGAACTCGTTGCTCCAAGGGTTTAAATGGTCAACCTGCTTATGTTATTTAGACGACGTTATCGTTTTCTCGCCCACATTCGACTCCCATCTCAAGCGTTTATCGGCGATTCTTGAAGTTTTTCGTCGAGCCGGACTTCAACTGAACTCATCGAAATGCCACTTTGCTCGTCGTCAAATAACCGTACTTGGCCACATCGTCGATGCCACAGGAGTCCGCCCGGATCCCGAGAAAATTCGCACCGTCACGGACTTTCCTGTTCCGAAGTCAACAAAGGACGTTCGTAGTTTTGTGGGCTAGTGCTCCTACTTTCGACGGTTTGTTAAGGACTTCGCCATCATTGCACGCCCACTCACAAACCTCCTGAAGAATGACACCCCGTTTTTCTGGGGCACTGATCAAGCCCCATCTTTTTCTCAGCTCACGACTCTCCTTACAACACCGCCGATTTTAGCCCATTTCGATCCATCAGCTCCAACCGAGGTTCGCACTGACGCTAGTGGGCATGGCATCGGGGCAATGCTAATGCAACATCAACGCGGACATGACCGTGTTATAGCATATGCAAGCCGCCTGCTATCTACAGCCGAGCGCAACTATTCAATCACGGAACGTGAGTGTCTCGCTCTCGTGTGGGCAGTCGCCAAGTTTCGCCCATACTTATACGGGCGTCCATCACCGACCATCACGTCACCGACCATCACGCGCTCTGCTGGCTGGCCTCACTCAAGGATCCCACAGGACGCCTCGCTCGTTGGTCCCTGCGATTGCAAGAATACACGTTCACCGTAACGTACAAAACAGGGCGGTCGCACCAAGATGCTGATTGCTTATCACGCTACCCTGTGGAAGAGGCTGCCCATACTGACACCTTCCCAGACCTTCTGTCTGTGACGCAGCTAGTCAATCTTGGGCACGAACAACGCCTGGATGCTTCCCTGCGAACCATCATTGGCAAGCTTGAGTCAAGGCCTCGCGATGCATCTCTACAAATGTTCCTGGTAAAAGACGGCATCCTGTATCGCCGTAACCTCGATCCATATGGCCATGACTTGCTTCCCGTCATACCAGCACATCTTCGTGCGACTGTTCTCAGCCAACTTCATGACGCTCCTTTGGCGGACCACTTGGGCGTCTCTCGCACATACGACCGTGTACGTCGTCGTTTCTTTTGGCCTGGTCTTGCCCGCTCTGTTCGACGCTACGTCGCCGCTTGTGAACCCTGCCAGCGCCGCAAAAAGCCATCTTCCCTACCAGCTGGATTCCTTCAGCCGATCGACATTCCCATTGAACCTTTTTTTTCGAGTTGGCCTCAACCTGCTTGGCCCATTCCTGATCTCCAGCTCAGGCAACAAATGGATCGCTGTCGCCACTGACTATGCGACACGGTACGCTATCACACGAGCACTTCCGACGAGTTGCGCAACCGATGTGGCGGACTTTCTGGTATATGATATTATTTTAGTACTCGGAGCTCTACGCCAACTTCTCACTGACCGGGGCCGCACCTTCCTATCAGCTGTCGTTGATGAAATCCTGTGCTCTTGCTCTGCCAAACACAGGTTTGCCACTTCGTACCATCCGCAAACGAACGGTCTTACGGAGCACCTCAACCGCACCATAACCGACATGCTTTCTAAATACATAGCGGCTGACCACCAGGACTGGGACGTTCATTTGCCATTTGTGACGTTCGAATAATTCGTCACGTCACGACACTGCCGGCTATTCCGCATTCTATCTTCTATACGGCCGAGAACCCGCCCTACCATTTGACACCTTGCTGCCCTCGGTCACTAAGTATGCTGGCCATCGCGCGAGCCGACCACGCACGCCAACTCGCCCGCAGCCGCCTGCAGACTTCACAGGAGCACCAAAGACAGCTCTACGATTCCCATCATCGAAACGTGCATTTCTCACCGGGTTCTCTTGTCCTCCTCTGGTCCCCCACTCGGCGTGTAGGGCTTTTTGAAAAACTGCTGTCACGCTACACTGGACCATACCGCGTTGTTCGCCAGGTGACTGACGTTACATACGAGATCGTTCCAGCCGATTCAACGTCATCATCGTCACCTTCGAGTGTGATCGTGCACATAGCTCGACTCAAGCCCTATCACCTTCCTTCTACCGCATCCGAGTTGTTCAAGCACCGAGACGGTGCTTCTACCGCCGGGGGGTTATGATACGCAACAGCCGGCACAGCCTGTCTGGAAGAAAGAGAAAGACGACGTTGGTGGCTGGTTGTTGATAAACTGTCGCCATCTTGTTCGCCGAGCACAGTGCATCGCATTTAATTTATTAAATAAGTTACCCGTAACATTATTATAAAGTGGCATAGCGCTGCAAAAATTGCGTGGTACAGGAGTACATTCCCACTGGGTGTAATAACACGCGATAATCATAATGATGTCGTGGTTTGAAGCCGGCCACAGATGACAAAAATCACGGACATTAAGGCGTGTATCCCCTTGCTACCTTGTAGTGGGTGCATAGAAAGCTAAAACGAGATACTTAGTTCGCATAAATGTTTCTGATTGAAAGTGTGCTACCCTCTACAGAGTGTACAGTTATATGCAAAAACTTCATTGACACAAGCTACTTTCAGCTTTATCGCTTACTTTTAAGTTATCCACGATTTGAACTTTTCGGGTTACATGACGCATAAAATATTTACACCGAGGTTTTTGAAATACGCACTATAAGGACAGAACATTGCTCTCGCGTTACATTTTGAACCCATTATAACCGAGCGTACTTTTCAAAGTACACTTCAATTTTCTGGAATAGAAACTATGGAATATAATGTTCTAAACTTCTTCACTAAAATTTAGGATGCCGAACGTCCCAGCAAGCTCATTCTAAATGGTATATATACTCGGTTCTGCTCTTTTTTGTTTTATAAGTCATTAAGTTTTATAAAAGTATATCGAATCTTAGAACTAACAAAGTTTTCCTACCTTTAGGAAAACGAGAACCCATCAAACACACGTAGTCACTGCTGTTTTACCGAAATTAATTTCAGAGTTTTCCCATTTATATATTTCAAAAACGAATTTCTTCTGCTTTAGCAAGAACAAAATACTCCTTCCAAAGCGCGAGATGCACATAGAGTGTATAGGTTTGCTTTCAGGTTTGATAAAATGTGGGTGTACTTTGTATTCCACATTGGGACTTCGTGTGAGCACACATGATCTGTTGTGCATTGCCCCAGAGACTAAACTATAGCTTTTTTAGGGGTGCGGTATTGGGGGGAAGGTAGGCTTTTTTTGCTTATATGAGGCTCACGAGACTGCACCAGTTGTCGTGCGTTGGTGGTGCCTCGGCGCCGCCTTCAGGGTCACCCACGGTAGTATTCTGTCGTAAACGCATTTGTGTGGCATTGAAGGTGGCGGTAAGTCAAGATCAAGACAAAGAGCGTGTATGAATACGGGCGTAGGACCGAAGATGTACTGAGATGGCTTAAAGAGCCCCGCGACACTTTTACTACAGCCTTATTTAGCACTGAAACGCATGTAGCCGTGATTACTGAAACCAATGCAACAAGAATGATGAAAATTGGTGCACAGAAAGTGAAATTATGAGTCCTCAATGTTCAATACTTTAGCAGACGACAACGAGAAACGTTCTCTTTCACATGTTACTCGCCTGATGATGTCAAAGACCGTTTCCAATCACAGCGCACGTCTCATAAGGACATCCTAAAAATGTCATCTCTTGGTGGCTTTCACACAATACCTCTTGATCGCTTTTTTTGAGGGCGTGATGGCGTGCTTACTACAAACCACATGCGTCGAGTAGCAGATGCTACCATGGTCACACTATGTAAGATACACACATGCGCTTTGGGCAAGGTCAGTACTCAGTTTGCATGCAAGGTGCGTTCTATTGGGCAACGCGGGCGTTCACCGCCTGTTGCATTTTTCGCTCGCTAAAAACTCGGTACAAGTTTCCACTTTTAGTTGCCGGTGTACCATAGAATCGTTCGCAGGCTAAGTGTTGTGTTCTTTGTTCTGAAAACACATCATTTCGAAAGAGGAATGATTTCTTTCTGAGAAAGTATAAAAAAGATTTTTGCTGTTTTAGCATTCACTCGTAGGCCTAGCTACCACCATATGAATATGGCGTGCTATTTCTCGCATCAAGCTAATCAAAATAGTACGGTGTTTGTCGTCACGCCACATGACACGACGTCACTTCCATAATAAAAATAGCCGCTGTGTGTCGCGGTAGCCTGAAAAAAGGTAGTTTATCCTGTGAAATAAATTACAACTGCGTCGATTTTGACGTGGTCGTGTGTGCAACGATATTGGTGGGTTCCACAGCACCAGAAAAACTAATGATAAATACGTGTTCAAATAGTGTCACAGGCCCCCTTTGAGGCTCTTTTATAGTAGAGTATATCCTATACTTAAAATAGTTCAACCTTGTTTCCGAATGCAATATACTACAAGGTATATTTTATTTATCTCGCAGGCAAACTTGGGCAACCTGAACCGGGTTCGCGAACAACTACCCATGATATTTGCAAACATCGCCCTCTTGCAGGTAACGTACCTATTTTTGCTCATTTAATTACTGCTACAATCTTCGAAAGCTTTTGATAGTGAACTGTAAGGTGAATATATTTTACATGCATAATTAAGTGGTCATAATTGAGATTACTATATAGGATGAATAAATATAAGAACAAAACAACCCAATAAATAGTTTTATCAATTCGTTCTGCAATGCAATGTTCATTGCTTTCACTGAAAACCACTACTTTTGCTAGAATTAGTTTCGTGTAAGTAGGTATTCCGTGTAGCATTTCTATCCATCATTCCATACTGTGGTTATAAAATTCCTGCCTGTGCGATATCTTGAAAAAGGCCTGCAATGCATTAAACCATGCATTAAACATGCATTAAACAATGCATTAAACCATGCATTAAACAATGTACATCCCATGTCTCCTTGTACCCTATGAGTTGGGGTATTCCCGCATGCTTCCAAAGCAAGTCTACCAATGCCACCTTGATTATTTTCCAATATTGCTTGAACTTCTGGTTTCACGCACAAGACCGCATTGCAGAACGTCAAACCCGAGACCATGACACCTTTCTAAGTTCCTCTCGCAACGTCATACCTATTGTAGTTCCATAGTGCCCTATTTTTCATTAGAGCTCCATTCCTGGTGTTCTTAGCTATTGCGTATCTTTCGTGCTCTCTTAGGTACCTAGCCCCGTTATTTATCCATACGCCCAAGTATTCGTAATTATCCACTATTTCTTGCGTGACTTCTTGTATCTTATGATCACTGCCTTTCTTATCAATAACAATGATTGCAAAATGTTCCCTGCAGAATTTCCAATTTAACCTATCTTCCTCATTATCAGAGATGTCTATCAATCTCTGCAGATATCCATTGTTGTCGGTTATTATTACTATATCATCTGCATACATCAATGCTGGTAATGGCTGTTCAATGTGTTTTCCTTGCTTGGAAAAAAAGAGGCTGTATCCGAGTCAACTCGCCTCTAACTTGGCTTCTAGTCTCTGGAGATACAGCATAAAGAACAAAGGTGACAAGGAATATCCCGGTCCAAGCTCGCGTCGTATCTCAATAGGATCAGATACCTGTTCTTCCCATTTGATAACTACTTTGATACTTTTAAAAATGTCCTTTAGAAGATTAGGTATTGCATCTTCCACATCTAGTGTGTCCAGTATTCTCCACAAGTCTTCTTGAATCGCACTATTGTAATCTCCCTTGATATCTAGAAAAGTCAGCCACAGGGGCATATGTTCTTTTTCCGCTATTTTATTACAATGCACCAATGAAAACAGTTTGTCCTCCAACCTTCTTCGTTTACAAAACCCATTTTGTAGTTCTTCGGCACCTCGTCATTGACCACCCATGGCTGTAAACTTTTTTTTACTATCTGCATCACCAGCCTGTAAACTACTGATGTCACTGTTATGAGACGGTAGTAGTATATATCGGCTTTAGCCCCCTTTACTTTATAGATCAAGCTCATCCTGCTTAGCTTCCACCCATCGGGGGCTTCACCATGCATTATTTCTTTGCTCGCTGCCTCTCTTAATGTTTGCTTAGAGTTTGGTCCTAGTTTCTTTATTATCCATGATTCGGATGCCGTCAAGGCCTGTTGATGTGCTATTAGGAAGTCTTTTTTTCTGCCCTTTACCACTCTCGTTGTCCCAGGGGAGCCACGGTGCATGCATCGCTGCCTTAGTGTTTAAAGTTTTCTGTCATCATTGTTATTATAAATTCCATTGCCTCCTCCCCTTCTAGTCTGACCCCTTTAACTGTAGTTATAAACCTTTGTTTTGTGCTTGTCTTATTACTCAGAGAATTGAGATGGTTCCAAAAGTTTGCAGCTGCCTTTTAACCTTCCTGCTACTTCCGCCATTCATTGGGCCCCCTTCTTATCTTTTCACTGATGAAATCAGGTGCTTCCTTCTGGAGCTGAAAAAGTTATCCCACTTTATTTTCACATCATCTTCCGGTTCACCCCTCTGGTTAGCATACCTGTGTTCCCTGGAAGCTTCATGACGTCTTACTATGAATTCCTTACATTCATCATCCCGCCAGCTCTTGGGCTTGTGTCTGCTTTTCCCGGCTGATTTGACTCGTACCTTAGCAACCTCTAACTCAAAATATCGAGATATATTTGTGTACGTCCACTTTGCTTTAATATCCACGGTGATTATTTTCTCCATCTCTTTAGCTGCTATTTATATTTGCATTTCTGAATAAATATTACCATGTGGTTGCTCGTAATGCTGCCTTTCCAATTTCTTTTTTCCCAAAACTCAGCTTGATAGGTTTGTGATCACTGCCTAAGCTTCTGGACCCAAATTCGTCTATGTTCATCACCCTTAGTCAATCATACATCCTATGTGACATTATTGCGTAATCTATCGTCGACTGCAGCCTTCCCACCTCCCAATTTATCTGCCCTTCGCATTTCCCGGTGCTGTTGCAAATCATAAATCATGCCTTTCACCCACAACTATTAGCATTCTGCCTGTTGGATCAGTATATCCATCCATATCTTCTATGTGCGCATTCATATCTCATTATATAAATACCTCAAACTCTTCTCCTAGTACGTCAGTCCTCTGCACTGTCAGTTCCTCTGCACTGCACCATTTATTGACTTTCCTCTCTGCCTTTTTGCCCCTGTCTACAAGTATACGAAACCGAGGAGCGTCACTTGCCCTGCCACTTTTCATTTTAGCCATAAATGTTCCTTGCATGCCTGCTTGACCCTTTGCCAGTCTGTACTTTTATGAATGAATGTTCCAATACCACCCCCCTTTCAGTGGCCATCTGTTCTATTAAGATATTCCCGCGTGTAGTCCGGATGGTTAGGAGGTTGTTCCATCCCCCTAAGATGTGTTTCTGCAAAACCATATACCATCGACCTCTCACTCTTTAGCTGTTCTTCTACCTTGTTCCACTCCAGCCTATTCCTGCCACCCTGCATGTTAATACACCCTACGTGCGAATTGGCTCGGCCCTCGTGGCTAGGTCGACTTCTGCCCCGGACTCTACGTGTCTTAAATATTGATGCCTATTGGGAATCGTTGTGTCTATACCACCTGTCAAAGAACTCCCCTGGTTGTTTTCCTCGATACTAGCTATCCTGCACCCCTAAGGGCCTGCGTGCCCCCCAAAAAGCTACTGCGCGTCCTGCAAGTCACTAAGCCACCTCATGGCCTAGCCTCCTATCAAAGTGAATTCTGTCTCGTTGAAAACCACCCCGTCTATGCACCTCTCTGTTTATTTCCACAACCTCAAAGCCTTTCTTTCGACTCATCCGTCATATCTCTTGGTTTGCGTTGACAACCACTCTTTGCAGGTTGCCGTCACGCACCGGTACCTCCTGTATCGTGCATATCACTACCTGTACCTGAGGAGAAATGGTGCACATGTCATCGACTCCTTTTGCCAGTGTGGTCGCTAGTCCTGCCGTATCTTCATTTAGGACATCACTTAAACCACCCGAATTTATCACGAGGTTTCGTCTATCAGCTGTAGTTTTTAGTTTTGCTCTCGCTCACCTCATGACTGCTTCCAGCTTGCGTCCTGGGAACGTTCCTACTGCGACCTTTTTGTCACCTCTTGCCCTCTCTTTGATTGCTTCTGCACATCGATTTCAATTCTAGTGCCCGGCGATTATCACGTGCTGTGACTTTTCAGCCGGAGCATCCTGCACCGGGGGAGGGGGTTCTCTTGCATCTGTGACGCCAGCTGCTGTGTCCCCTCCCAGCCCCACCACTACTTCGCTGAAGCTAGCTTTTGTGACCACTGAACCGACAGAAGCTGTTTTTTTTTCAAACTTGCTTGCTCTTTCTTCTCCGCCGTTCTGGTTGCCGGTGCCCTACCATTCTCTCCGTCGGCCACTCCTTTGCTCACCTTCGCTAGTGCCTCCTCGTTGGATTTGAGCCTTTCTCTCAGCCTTCGTTTTCTCTTGCTCTGTCGCCAACGCGATCTCCAGCTCGGTGATTGTCATCAGCAGTTCACTCTGGACAGCCATCATTTTCGCAATTTTTTTCCTCGATCTCACATTGCCTACACTTGGCGGCAGCCTCCACTTCATTCGCGTCTGCAGTTGGGTCTATTTTCAAACCCACCCTCCGTCGTGAACATTTTACAGCCTTTTTAACCATGTATTTTTGACACCCATTGTCCTTATGAATTGTCCCAATCGATAATTAAAAAACACGGCGTACGACAAACCATGCCCTACGAAAAAAAGGAAGTCTAAGCTCTACTACACAAATTTGCGTGTTCGGTGTACCTGCATCTCTCCCACGAGGTGGCAAGAGGAAAAACACAAACACACACAAACAAGTAAATACCTGGAGACTGACCCTGAAAACGCCGTGCAATGTAATAAGTGTTACAAAGGTTTTAACTGTTGCTTTATAGTTATAAAAGCAAGCTCGAAACATGCAAAACCACTTATCGGCGCAGTCAATCGGGAGCGCCCAAAAACACATCCATTCACCGTGCCAGTCCAAACTGAGTGGGGTAAGGGTAAGGGCGCCACCTGGTGGTGTGTTAAGGCGTTGACAAAATTGCATTTCAACGGAACACACCGAATGGTAAGAATGCTTAGAAACGACGTGTTAAAGAAACTAATGGCAGATGCGATGGCCATATTGCCTTGCTCTCAATACCAAGAACATGAAAGGACAGTGGTAGATATAAGTGACGTATTTTTAAAAGCGTACAAAACAGGTGACTATGGCACAGGGGATAGTGTGCCCAGAATATGTTGTCCTAAACCTAGGGGTGATGTTTTCAATTGTCATTAAAAGAATATTTTTTTGTTTGCTGATCGTGAATATTTTTTTCGACGTTATTTCCGTGACGTAAATACGTCACTGGAATGTTTGTCGACCCCGGCATAAAACTCTTTTGTGTCAAAAAACAACCCTCAATGTAAACGTTAACGTGGAAGGAAAAGCATGGCGACAACCTCTTATTGTCAAAGATTGCTGCTGCTGTAGTTCTAATCCAGTACAGCTCGAAATCGATGAGTGGACAGAGTAGAAATTGGGAAATAAGTGTACTAGTGGAGTATGCGTATCAATATAAAAGTTGAGTATGTCAAGATTAGTCCGGCAAGATCACACATGAAACATTTTCTAAGGCGAATCTAGACACATGAGAAGCAGCAACTAGGAACTGAAGTAAAAGATTAAGGTGACATGAACCCAGCGCTTTCGTCTTTGCTTCCGCAAGCACGCTTGATGTCAGCGTAGTGTCGCTTGCGCGCTTATCACGAGGCCTCAACCACATAAAGAAATTGCATAAACAGTGGTCTCAGACAATGGCGTCAAGTTTTCACTCGCGATAACTATTCTACTATGTCACCTATTCTTCGAGTTTCCTCCGTTCATAACGGCATCACCCTGATATTCACGCCATATCAAACACAGTGCGTGAAAATATTTAAATCGTAACTACAGTAACTAGTATTTTGTTCGTTCAGTGCTGTTTGGCCTGGAAAGTGAGGTCGTTACTAATCACCTGTTTACGTGCAGAGATTGAATCACTCATTCATTATTCAACTCATTCAGACTCAGAATAGTCTGTTCTGCCCATGACCTTGAGTCCAAGGTAATCCTGTTGAGAAAAAAATTTGTGAGCCAGGTTTTAGTGAGCCCTGCTTGAGAAAGCTTTTTTAATTGTTAAGCATTTCTTATAAAAGTTCAGTGACAGTGAGCGTATCTATCTATCTATCTATCTATCTATCTATCTATCTATCTATCTATCTATCTATCTATCTATCTATCTATCTATCTATCTATCTATCTATCTATCTATCTATCTATCTATCTATCTATCTATCTATCTGTCTATCTATCTATCTATCTGTCTATCTATCTATCTATCTAATCTCTCTCTCTATCTATCTATCTATCTATCTATCTATCTATCTGTTATACAATCTCCGACTTTTAGCTCTCCTAGCCGTTTGAATAATGGTATCAATACTAAAACTGGCATGCGATATCATGACTATATTGCGAGCATATATAACTAATCATAACATGAAAAACTTGATAGCTATGCCATAAATGTCATGATTTAGATTACATGCTTTTGCTGCTCTTGTGGTGGTTTCGTTCACATGACACATTGCAAAACTGGTGGGGTATCACATAACTGCATGACGAAGATCCTAACCTGGAAATCGTGACATGCATATCATGAAAGTCATGACTAAACTCCACGCTCGTGTTGCACTCGCACTTGTTTCGCTTACTTCACATATACCAAATTTAGTATCACGCCACGTGAGCAGACTACGAAGGTAAATGACACGCCCAGACATGATAGGCATGACATGCGTGTCATGTAAAACATGAATACATGCTATGCTCATAGCGAACTCAGGGCCGTTTAGCTAGATCTACATATACCGAATTTGGTATCAAGTGGTGTGAATAGACAGCAAATGATTGATATGTGTGGTTTAGCGTCCCAAAACCACTATATGAATATGAGAGACGCCGTAGTGGAGGGCTCCAGAAATTTAGACCACCTGGGGTTCTTTAACGTGCACCCAAATCTGAGCACACGGGCCTACAACATTTCCGCCTCCATCGGAAATGCAGCCGCCGCAGCCGGGATTAGAACCCGCGCCCTGCGGGTCAGCAGCCGAGTACCTTAGCCACTAGACCACCGCGGCGGGGCAATAGACAGCAAAGGTAAATGACACGTCTAAATATTGCAATGATGGATGGAAGTCGGGTACTGCATAATTTACGTCCGTCTTGTAACGTTGGTTTGGTAGTAAAGTGAGATATTGACCTTCCTTGTTAGTGCTTCGCATGTCATCGGTTCCCACTGTACGTGGGATCTGCTATTTTTTAATCAGTGTGAATTAGCTACACCTTGTTTTGTCGATCTATGTTTACGTGCAGTGCCAGTCGACAGTGTCGACCTTCCTGACATGTTCACTCGCCGTCCTGAAAGGTCTGGCGATTGACGGTCTCTGGGACCCTTCCCACATCGCCGTCCTCTACGCTGGAGCGCTGGCCGCTGTCAACACCGCCAGTCTCTTTCTCAGTTGCGTATTTGTTTTGCATAGCCTCAATCACCGAAGAACTGCATATGGGAGCAGGAGACAAAAACAAGTAATGCGATTGTGAAGCATTTGAAAATATTCTTGAGAAGTTTAGAAATGCACACATAAATATTGATTTGACAAAACTAGAAATAGGCACGGTGTGTTACATAATGTAAACAAATTTGAAAAGCGAGCGAATTCGTAGGCATCAAGAAATGAGGAATATTGTTGTGATGACACACATGTGAAAATGCACATTCATATTGCGGTGCTCTATTTCGGTGCCCACAGAATTGTATACCACAGGCGTTTAAAACCAATAAAACTAGAAGGCACGATAGGAGGTGAATTATAAAGACGGAAAACTGTATTAGAACTCATTTAGACAATCGTCTTTTAATACACTAGGTTGATATTTTCAACATTTTATACAGAGGCATATGAATTGGCCGGCTTAATATATCGGGAGCTTGCTTGCTGTACGAATGGTCACGCTTCCTCAAGCGGATAGGGTAAAGTGTCAATCATCCATGTTCTGTCATTTGTGCGTGAATATTTTGAAATATCTATGTACACATAATTAGTGGATTCCATTCATATCGCATTACTTCACGTATATGTGCAGGGCGTCTGAAAAATGTGTCTAATTTTGATTAGAGATCAGAAAAATGCGCTATTTGCTTAATGTCTACACAGTCTTCTCTGTAGCCAGAAGAATTTAGAAGGGTTGACTACATAATTTGGAATAGTACTCAGGAAACCTACATTATTCACCTTTTTAATTAGCGGAGTCAAGTAGTTAAGTGAACTGGATGAATTGAAGTCCTTGATGTGAAGAACACAATGCTGCTTTGAGATTTTGGAAAAAGGGTCTCTCGTAATAACTATGCAGGTTACACATCTACACAAAGGAGTCGGTAGATGGTTGATATACCACCCCCTAATTTTGGTTTCACTCTTTTGCGTTTCGGTTTTGGTTTCACCGCAGAATTGGGGATAAATTTATTTATTTGCAGTTATGTTACAGATCGTTTTTGTAAAATCTCATTGCGGTCATCGGCGTTTTGCATAAAGGGCTTAAATACGGCCTTTTGACCTAACTGTCTAACTACAGTAGTTAAAAAGCAAATAATGTTATTGCCCAATTACTGTTCCAAATAATATCTTCAACCCTCTTAAGATGCCTGCCGCCACAGAAAAACCATTTGTGAAGACAGCGAGCAAATTGCGCCTTTTCATGAAATTTTAGGAGTATTACTTAACTAATAAACTTAACACGTGCATTTGAAAGTGTGAGCTCAGCTTCATATCACTGAACAAATGAAAGAAAAAATGTTGAAGACCTGTAGGGAAAGTTTTTTGTTTCTGAACTATTTCTTCGCAAGGCTGTAAGGCAAAGTCAAAGGCACGTCATAAAGATCCCCTTCACCGCTTTTTAGTACACTCATCTAAGCACAGTAGTTAACTTGCACAAGGGCATGTCAACAAATGCTCTCTTTAACCACAATGTTAGCAAATTATACATTTAGGAACATTCATCTACATACTGCCCTAAGAGATATAGCAAGCTGACGTTCTGTACTTTTTCAATTCCTGTATTTTTTGTTCACACGGGCTTTGTGATGTCCACGGTCGTGGTGCTGTCCACCAAATGCGAAAAAAACCCGGACAACATCGCGCCGGCCTTCGCGGCTTCGTTCGGGGACCTGACCACGCTTTTCCTTCTCTCCGGCTACTCGTCTATAATGCTGTACCATCCGTGTGCGTCTTTGCCACGACCTATTTCATTGCGAAGCATTTCTTAGCGAACTTCGGTGACTTTCAGCGTATCTATCTATCTATCTATCTATCTATCTATCTATCTATCTATCTATCTATCTATCTATCTATCTATCTATCTATCTATCTATCTATCTATCTATCTGTCTATCTGTCTTCTGTCTGTCTGTCTATCTATCTATCTATCTATCTATCTATCTATCTATCTATCTATCTATCTATCTATCTATCTATCTAGCCGCCTACGACATTTAGCTCTCCAGGCCGTTTCGACTATCGATACCAAACTTGGTATGGCGTAACATGACTATATGAAGAACATATCTCACTAGTCATAACATGAAAATCATATCATGTGTGTCATGAATATCATGATTTACATTTCATGGTCCTGCAGCTCTTGCGGTGGTTTCGTTCACATGGCTTCTTGCAAAACTGGTATGGCATGGCATTATTGCATGGCAAACACAAGGGACAGACCCTAACATGAAAATCATGATATGTCTGTCATGTAACAACCTGACTATATGCCACGCTCATGATGCCCTCGCGGCCTTTTCGCAAGCGTTCCATACACCAAATTTGCTATTACGGTACGTGAGTGGATGACGAAGGTATGTGACTGGTGCAAACATGATAATCATGAGATGCGTGTCATGTAAAAACATGACTACATGCCAGAGTCAAGGCGCCAATACATTTCGACGTGAAGCGGTGCGCGTGCTCGCCAGTGTTCATTTTGTCGCGTCGAGCCGGCGTTGGTGCACGCCAGGCACTGGTGCTGCCGTATACTCGCAGGCACGCGCCGCGTTGTATCGCTTTGACGCATGTGCGTTTCAGCGTGTTCGGCATCCCTCCGTCACGAAAAGAGGGAGACGCAGTGTTGTCTGGGTAACGCATCGGCACGAAATGCAGCATGCCGCATTTTACACCGGTTGCCGTCGGGCCGCACTGACGGACGCTGATCGCGCCGGTCGCGCCTGGCGTCAGACTATAGAGTGCTCGCGTTCTTCTAACGTAGCGTCGCTTGACCCCTCGGGTTCGCGTCAACGCTACATTGGAGTATATTGGGCCCTTCATGATGCGCTCGCTGTCGTTTTGCTAGCTCTACATATACCAAATTTGGTGTTACGTGACGTCAATGAATGACAAAATATATGACTAGTCTAAACATAATAATCCTGACCCACGTGTCATATAAGAGCATGACAACATACCACGCTCATAGCGTGCTCGCCACCGTTTCGCTAGCTTCACATATACTAAATATGGTATACTGTGACGTCAATAGACGACGAAGGTAAATGACACATCCAAACATGATAGTCATGAGACGGAAGTCATAGAAGGCATCATTTGCCTTCAACTCGTCACGTTGGGCTGATTTCAAAGTGACACGTTAACCTTTCTTATTCATGCTTCGCATTTCGTCGATTCCCACTGTACGTGGGATCTGCCAACTTTTATCAGCATTGTAACGACCAGGTCTTGCAAAAGTAAAGTAAAGCCTGTTGATATGCGTTCTTGTGCAAGTTACACTACGCTTGTTCACTGCGCACACGCTTACGTGCTTGCCGCCGTGCTTCAGGTGTTCGGTTAAGTTTCGGGCCTACTTGCTATAAGAATAGTTGATATCGATTGATCACAATGTTTATTATACTGACACCATTGGTTCTGATGGTGCAAGTTGTGGTATTATATGCGTAGGCTTCATGAACAAGTGCGACCGCTCTATGCTAAGTTTTGCATGCGTTCAGAACACGAGCTGTTGATGGATAGGGCCACTTAACGTTGATAGTATATATTTAAACGTGCCAGAGCTAGTGAACAAGAAAGTGTTGCAAACAAAGGCCAGCAGTTATTTACTAAAAGCTGTGTGCATCAGTTGCGCATAACTTCAAAAGTGTTGCTGTAGCAATATTAATGATTCATCTACGTATAATACAGCTCACTTTCATCTCTTTTTTTGCACTCCCGTCTGTTCATGCATGGTCGCACCACGAGGCAGCACCGACTGTCCCATTTCCCACGCTTCTACATTCAATATGTGCTTGACGGTCATATGCAGATCTGGCGCCGCTTGTGATCGCGTTGTGCCTGCTCCTGCTGCCAATGTGGATAGTTCTGGCCCGACGCAACACCGTCTCCCGGGAAGTGCTGCGCGTCGGGTGGCTGCCAATTATTATCGCACTCACGGTCTCGAGGTAAGTGAGCAGAGAACGCACCCATTGCTCATTAGGAAAGCGAGTGTTACACTCAAAGCTTTTGCGTTCATTCAGGTGAAATTTCTTCCCGTAATTTACGTCTAAATCGGCTTTCCCTGCTGTTACTGTTGCTGTTCTGTCTACTAATAGCATTGGCAGCAGGCCCCGCTGTGGTGTTCTAGTTGCTGAGGAACTAAACTGCTGACCGGAAGGTCGTAGGATCGAATATCGGCTGCTGTGACTGCATTTTTTGGTGGAGGTGAAAAATGATGTATGCGAACGTGCTGAGATTCCTGTGCACGCTAAGGAAACCCAGGTGGTCGACATTCTCTGAGTCCTCCCCTGCAGCGTCTCCAATAATCATAGGGTGGTTTTGGGGCGCTGAATACCACATATCATTCAAGCATTTGCAGCAGTTTCTAGGTTATTCTGTACAAATCAATTTTATGGGATCATTCTATTTTGTTTTGTTCTCTATTTCTATTTAAGTTTTGTATGTAGCTATTTGATGTGTCTTCTACCTGGAATGATGTGGAATGGGATAAAAAGAATTGTTAATAAATAAATAAATCCCAGAATAACCAAACCAAACGGGTAAACAATAAAACCACAATAAACGAAAATAAATAATATTAAAAGCAGTCCTCATTTCAGACATTCAACATTTGCCTGGTCACCTATAATACTGGTTCGTAAACAAGGATAATTGAATAGAATTTCGTAATGGCAATGTGAAATATTCGAAGAGGCTCCAAGTTTAATTACCCGACAATTTGTAAAGCTCTTCGTACGAAAGCTCCTAAATACAAGTTGCTAGTAACTTTTATTGCACATGCGTTTTTGCAGCTTCGGTGGGTACATCCTGGATTATGCAGTCTTCGCTTATCCGCCAATTGCCCTGCACCTGTCTGCAGTAAATGGTGAGTCAGGCTATTCAAACACTAGAATCCACCCCGTTCTACGCGATGGCTTTAAACAGTTACTTTCGCAGCCGAGTACGTGGCTGCACCATAGGTTCGGGGCTTGAATTGATACTCTCCCTTAGTGAGTGAAGTAATTAAAAAAAACAAATAAATAGCGCTTATGTAGTGTCTCTTCTATTTTTACAATATGCCAGCCAGACGTGCCAAATCTAGCCATTCGTCGCCCTCTCCAGATCTTGCCGTTTGCCTAGCTTTGGCCTGCGCTATGTGGTTATGGGGGAGATAGCCCATCATGTGGTGTCTCACAAAGCAAATCATACGAAGGATTGTTTTGTTCGGTTGTGTACAGATCCGTGGGGCAGTGTCTTACATTCCTGGTGTTCACAATGTTGGCGCTCACGCTGCTTCTGTAAATGCTACGGTACTCTAAGATAGCATGTCGGCGTTCATGGCGCTATGTAAGCAAACAATAGGGAAGCATCATTACGACACTTCTTCATGCACTGACTTCAAGAGCACCATGAGGTGGCATCGGCAAGGCTTTGAGCCAGACACCAAGGAGCACGAATGAACGAATCTGACAGATGTGTAATACTTGAGACATAAATGTGTCCAATATACCTACGAGGGAAAGTGCTTGAACGCACGTGTGGCGCAAGCAGCTTCACATGTGGCGACGCATCACGACCACTCCCTGAACTAAGGTGGACCGATGGCTTCCGTTGAGGAAGCGTGCATTCGCACTGGCTCTGAAAGAAATGAAGGAGGCATTGGCTATTTCTTCCTTCATAGATTAGGCTTTTACCTGAAAGGTAAACGTATCTTGACAGAGGTATCTAAACATTTACTGCGCATTTCCACAACGGCGAAGGAATGAGGGCGGCAGCAACAAATTTAAGTTAACGTGAAGAACGGCATGCAGCTCGAACATGCCGCGCGCTGCTCAAGCAGAACAGACGCACGAAACGGACATACAACAGGACAAGTGCCAACTAAGAACTGTATACCAGCTTCTCACTAATCGCTGGCTGCTCAGACACAAAGGAACGCGCATGAAACGAACGCTCAAGTATACACAGAACCAGTGGGAATCAGCAGCTCTCACAATTGTTACCTAGTATTTCAGCAGTGCACTCCTTTCGCAAAGGCGGCCACTGCAGTGAGCGAATTGGCATTTGTGCTCTCCGTAACTTCAACACAAACTAGCTGTGAAACATTTAAACCACCCGCATCAAGGGCACGCCCACACGAGCGGCAACGTCTTGCAGAGGCGTGCTCACTCGTGCGGACCGTGGGAACACATTCAGAGGAAGAGCGATGACCTCTAAAGTTAAATCTCAAGCGCACCCTTCTCGCTATCTCACCAGTTATATAAAGTGAACGCGCTGAAGTGCCACCGAGCTATGATCACCGTCAACAGAAAACAACGTACATAAATAGCTCACCGTTAGTGCACTGATTAATGTTCTTTCCGTGGTGGAGTCGCTTCGCTCCGCACGCTGCGGAACTATATATAGGTGTCATAGGTGTGACTCGGGGTGACTGAACAATTTTTTCTTTTCTTCAAATTTTTCTTGGTCATCTGTGCGTGTAGATTTCACAACGTATTACCCTCGACGGAAAGACGTGAGTGGAGCGGTGGTGTAACCCGGCGTAAAACATTTTCGTGTAAGAAAGTTTGTTTCGAATCACGATCGAACCAACCATAAAATACTCTGCTTCGCGTGTCTGATGGTTACCGATTGCAGCGCTGGGCGGCAACCTGGCGGCCGTCTTCAGCTGCAGCTTGTCCAGTTACCTGAACCGGGTGACGCCACTGGGAGACATACCGTTCGGGGAACACGTCTGCGTGGGGCCCCTACAGATGTACTACCAGGGTGGGGAGATGGCCAACGTGGCCTACGTGCTCGTCGGCGTCGTGGTGCCCGGCCAGACGCTGTTCGCCGTGCTCTCTAGGATTCTGCGCTTCGGCAAGGTCTCCATGACCATCACCTTCTTCGCAGCGTACTGTGGTGCATCGCTAGGGCAGGTGGTCCTCACCGATGATGTTATGTAATTACGAAACACGAAAAATTCACTTTAGTTTAGACACAGGAGAAAAAACATGAGTTTTCCGCACCTGACCATCCGGGCTACGAACAACGCTGACAAACACTCCCAGGTGTCGACGCACAAATACACCCGATAAAGTAGACAGGAGGACTACAGCCGGTGTAGTTCAAATCGTTGAGCATTGGACGCCTTATTCAATGGCTGCAGCTGTGGTCTCGGCGGGGCCTGTAGGAAGGAAGAAAAAAGGACGGAGCATCATCACACGAGTGAAGTCCACCGTGTCGGCCCAACACATGATCAAAATGTCAGAGCATGTGGTGGGATTTTGTGACTTTGGTGGCGTTTCATTTTTGAACCTCCTGCGTGAGCCGGCTGGTCTGCACCGAACAAAAGGATTTAGAATGAAATCTGCTGCGTGCTATACTCCCAAGTGCGCTGCAGTATCGGCAAGGATCGTTGCGTACTTGATCTTGGCGTGAAATGTCACATGTTGGGCCGACCCTGGTGGCTTCAAAACGGGTCGGCTTGCCAAAGCTGGCTCAATTACGTCATCTTTTCTCGTATATGCCATTGAAAATTCTTTCTTTCAGCTAATCAAAGGTCAATTCAAGATCGACACGTTGCACCTTCTATATTTGTCAGGTAACGATACCAGACCCAGGAACTCACTAGCTGTAACTGTAATCGTGACACGTTCCAAATTCTTTCTTTGCTAGAAATAACTGTAGTGGATTGGAACAAATAGCCCGGTAAAAGGTTGATGCAAGATTACCTCTCGCAATTTGAATCTCACCTTCGGTAGGAAGCAATTATCTTCTCTGGCTAGAATAATTTTGGATATGTGTATTTTTTCTCTTTTACCTCGTGCTAACTCATCTGTTGGACCCAAAAAATGCTGGACTAACGCTTATTGCCCTTTAGTTTTGTTCATCAAAGCACACGTGCGAACAAATCTATTGTTTCCTGTGTCTTTTTTTATTTTGATGCACCTATATAATGTACCAAGCTGCCAAGATCGTGTACATGATCACAGTATCAATCAATAAGCGTATAAGTAAATAAATATACAAATACATACCTAAACAAATAAGGAAAAACTGAAATAAATAACTAATGAACTGGCAAGCTTATGTTTCAAGCAGGAAAAAACAGAGATAACTATCACCAAGTGAAACTGGTATTTGCAATTAAACAGAAGCATACTTGACTTGTACCAAATCATTCTTTATCGCGTCCGATGCTGGTAAACTTAAGCCCGGCGAAAAAATGCGCAGCCTGAGCACCTACAATAAGACGTGCTTTTTTGGGGAATTAAACTACGGCTTTGACTCACTTTGACCCTCCACGAGTCGTTGGCGCCATCTATTTGAAAGACTCGTAAACGCACTCTATGGCACCAAAACTGAATGGTTGTGTCGATTTTCTCATGTTCGCTGATTCAGTTTTATATATAAACTGCCCATGCCAGCTGGAGGGGTTTTCTTTTTCGCATGACTATATTGGTATCTTTTGTGTTCGTAATTTTCAGTTCAGTTTTTCCCGGGCGGGGGGGGAAGTAATGGCCACATAAACTTTGGTAGCAATTTTCAAGTTTTCAGACAGTCACTAATGCATTACAGAGAAAGATATTATGAGAGCACAAGGGCCTTCGTGCCGTAATTGTCCATCGCCGGTGTCCGTATCCGCTATCGCGTGCTGTGGAAAAAAAGAAACAAGCGAAGTAAATAAAAACTCCGAGGCACGACTGGGATTCAAAACCAGGTCCCCTGCCCTCCAGGCCAGTAAATTACCATTAAGCTACACCGGTGCTTGAAACCTCATGCGTGAAACTTCGTTTCAGATTAACACTAGGCAGCTTTCATGTCGAGAAAAAAATCGCGTTATTATAAGTAATAAATTGTTCCAGAACAGCGAAGAAACAACCAGACATCACACAATGCCAATAGCGTTATGACCAAGAATGCCATAGTGGATGCCTTACTACCACAAATAATTGTTATTTATGGCATAATCGCTACTCTGCAAGTGCGCTCGTAGCATGTTACACAATGTATGAATAAAAAGATGTCTTTAGCAATGCCACTCTTGCAGCTTTCACAGTGACAGTGCAGCGCGTCTCGCGCAAGCGTGGTGTTTTTTTTTGCTTGAACAAGAAGTCACGATGAGATGCTGTAACCGCCCATCGGTCATCATGGCGTTTTAAGCCAAGCCTGAGGCCTACGCACGAGGGATGGAGGATGTGGTGATGCACTTTAGCCGTTAGTTTATCACAGTCAGTTCATTAATAATATTATTGTTCTTTCCTAAGAATTTTATCAGTATTAATAATAATATTTATCATTATATCATTAATTTTTGTTGTTGTTCTTTGGGTGGTTTGGCGTTCCGATATGAGTGCAAAAGGCGACGCGGATGCCTCCTAGACAGACGCTTCAACAGACATACTGCATGCAACACTTCAACAGCGGAATAAAAAGAAAGGCGAGACAAAAAAAATACTTGCTAGTCACATTCACCCTTTTCAAATTCTAAGTATCCGGATCATATACTCTATAAGGTAACCCAGAATTGCGTCATCTAGGCACGCTGTTTTCTAGCCGTTCTAAATTTGCCCGAGGCTATCCTTATTATGTTCGGCCTTCACCCTCCAAAGGTTGATATGTGGGGCTTAACGTCCCAAAACCAACCCTCCGAAGGCCCTTCACGAAGGTATGTAAAGTAAGAGTTCAAAACTAGGGTGTAGTAGTGCGAATCGAAAGCAATGTATACGTAAAAATTCCAACAAGAAGGTACAGAGGTAGGTTATGACAAGCATGAGCAAGATGCCGTTTTTAGACAAACTCCACTCTCTGCAATGTATAACAGAATCAAGTCTTTTTTATTGAAGTAGTGATACCTAAAATGACGCGAGAGCCACGGTTACTCTGGAAGCTTGTTGTAATAAAAAGGGCGACAGGAAATGCTGTAAAGAAGAGAGGGGAAATTTTTAAGTACAAGTATATATTATAGGTCAACCTTATTACACCTAACTAACTACATTAATAGGGCAACAAAGTGTCTTAAAGACTGTTTAGCCACTTTTCGTAATAGCACCTGTCCTATCCCAGTTCCGCCACGGTGGTCTATTAATTATGGTGTTCGAGTGTCAGCAACATGTCTCTGGATCTTATCCTCTCTGCATCGGCCCCATTTTCGATGGAAGTGAGAAACCTAGAGGCCCATGTACTTAAATCTAGGTGGACGTTGAAGAAGCACAAGGGATTGGAATTTACGATAATAAAAAATTTGAACCCTCTCCTCGAACGGCACCCTGAAAGAGTGCGAAACATCAGCGTTTAGCATGCGTGGCGGGACGGTTTGAAAAGGCGCTAACGCGGGTTCTGCGGTGAGTGCTGGAAGATTCGTTTGAAGCGATGGCTGGCGTATGTCTAGTTTCTTCAGAGGGGACACGGGCGCTGGACCGGAGCAGGCGCGTGTTTCGCCTTGATGATCGCCGCCTTGTGATCGGTGAAGTGCACGCTGAGAGGTTCCTGCAGACATTCTGCGTCGCAGTTGGCTAAGGCCAGATCGATGCGCATTCCTTTTATTGTGGTGGGTGATTTCCGTTCTACCGACACGCACTTCAGCGAGTGGACGTCTAGCATGTAATCGACGAGCCATTCTCGTCTTTCTGCGCTGACGAAAACGTTGAAATCTCCCGCGACTATAAGAGGCACATCGACAGGCCTCACTCACTTCAACAGTCAGCGCCTCCTTCAGACAGCGCTGAAGCTGCTCCTTCGGCAGGTTGGAAGTGACGTAGAGCACGAAGATCGACACGTCACCGATGCGCAAGGCAACTCACTCGAACCAGTTGTGTCTTCAAAAAGCCCTTATCGTTCTTACACGTCGCCTCTTGTTCGCCCGGCGGAGCCCAGCGCTTGCGTACGGGTGCTTCAGTGGAGGCGTGTGGCGCTTTCGAGACGTTGCCAAACGACGATGACGTTGAGGATTCGTCAGCGTTGGCATTCCGCTGTCGGTGCTTGTACTTGGCTTCCTTCACTCGCGTCTCGTCGGTGTTGCCGACGCGTTGAAGACGCTTGCGCTTCGCTTCCTTGGCTTGCGTCTCGTCGGTGTTACCAGCGCGCCTTCTCCGTTCCCGCCCTCACACCTCGTCGGTGTCGTTGATCTTTCACTTCCGGCGCTTGAATTCGGCTTCCCTGGCCCACGCCTTGTCGGTGTTGCCGTTGCGACGTCGCTATGCGTGAACGCGATCGGCTCTGCTAACCCTCGCAACGCCGAACAACGCCCGGGTTAGGCCAAATCACTTCGGCGCATCTTCCAGCGGGCGAAACAGCTAGCTTCGCTTTCTGGTGTCCTCTCTATTGCAGATAAACGGTCCGAAAGAGTGTTCACTATACTCGGTGACAACTTCTAGTGGCAGCACAGCCAAGGCTACGAAGCCCACACACGCCCTTTTTTACTACGCTTATGCTGTACCACGCTGTAGTGCCTTTGTTTCGGCGTACTTCGTCAAATAGTCCGTGGCTGCTACGATCCACTTGTTGCCGGCAGATGTCAGCGAAAAGAGCCCCAGTAAATCTATTATTATTTGATCGAATGTCACCCTAGGTGGTTCGAGTGGTTGAAGAAGCCCCGCGGGCTTCAGTGGCAGGGATATGTGGCGTTGACAATCCCGGCGGATTTTCTCGTATCGCTTAACAGATGCGTAAAGCTTAGGCCAGTAGTGCGCTTGCCGAACTCGATCGAGAGTTCGAAGGGAACCTATGTGACCAGATGTGAGCTCATCGTGGCAGGCGAGAAGCATGTCATCACGCAAGTCAGTTGGCACGCCTAGAAGATAAGTTCTCTCAATGCTGTTGGAGTTTTTCTTATACAGGGCCCCATCTCACAGGCATAATGACGACAGGCTTCGAGAAGTACAATGAGGTATGGAAGAGTTACGTCTTTCAAGTTTTTGATAACTGCACGTATTTCGTCGTCCGCGTGCTGTCGTGTAATCAG